GATGATGCCCGAAGTACTATTTCGAAGCCTTGAATGACTCCCTTCAGCCACAGTGAAAGCTGCTGCTGAGGAGGTCTGCGTGACAGAGCCATCTGCAAATGTGTACTGCATATCCGTACATACAGTGAATATACGACAAACTGCAATGCTCACCACACACCGTTTCAACGCCCTTTTGCCTTAGAGTGTATGTTGTAAATCCTGGAACGTTCTCTGGCCAGGAACTGTCAATCTATCTCCAACTTTGGCCCAAAGTTCTGTGCTTACTGGGTTATATCAATGAGCTTGAACTCAAGCTGTGATTTCTTAAGGATCCACGCATCACTGCCCAAGTCGCCTCAATTAAAGAAGCCTTGTGCAGTGTATACATACAGTTGGAAATAGTGAAGAAAAAGCGGGCAGTCCAAACGCATGTTCTCCAAAGCATGCAAGCTGATTTTTTGCTGGGCACGCAAAATGCCTCTTTTTTTAACCTTTTACATCCATTGGTATTGTATTGAATAATACCTTGGTAATACGTTTAATCATACCTTGAGGTTTCGAATATTACTTTCACTTAGCTACAAGACGACGAAGCTCTGCGAAACACCTTTGGAAATCAAAAGAATGTCTTCTGTGCTAGTACAACTCCACTCCAGTTCATTCACGTCACACCTCTTTCGCCATAGCATCAAGCTGCTTTGAAAGATGGACTTCACATTTATGAAGGCGCCTTTTGAGTCTCGGGTGTACTTCGTGTTTATTCTGGATGAATGACGTCACATTGCCCTCCACAACGCCTTCATTCACAGAACACCACATCGATGCTCCACAAGAGAAGAGGAAATTGTCAGGCAAGTGAACGTACTTCTGAATCAATGGGTAGTGCGCCCCTCTTGTTCACTATGCGTAGCTCTTGCCAATTTTGTAGACAAATAAGATTGTACTTATTCATTGATTGATTGTTGATAGCTTATTGCTGGCTCTGTGCCCTGCTACTATCCTATTCCGCCTAAAGCCGATGTGATCCACAACCCGAAAAAAACGAAATATTTTCCAACATTTGGCATAACCTCCATTTAATAGTATGTCTCAATAAATCAATCGGGGATTCCAAAAGAGCTCTTCTTACACCGAGCAGCCAATATAAACGGCTTAATAGGCAATTCACTTCGAAAAATGCCTCTGCTACGTTTGAAATAGCTATGCAAACAGTGATTGGAAAACACAACACAAAAACGTTGTTAAGGACTCTCGTGCCAATTGTTCCTTTCTGGCACAATTATGGGCACCTACAGTACCTCTAAGCTCTATTGTAAGTTCTAAAGATGGAGAACATAAAAATGTAATTGATATGTACCACTTTTTCCAACACTAGATATCTGAGTCACAGTGTGTCACATAGAACAGTATTGTCTAAACGAAGGAATATAGAAATGGTATTGCGACTCCCAATACCAAAACATCCGGAGGAGTGGAAGCGTTTTCTTTGGCACTACCAACGTTTACCGCCAATTCATACCGTGTTTTAGTGACATAGACAACCTCTTACTGGGATTCCTCATGCGAGCAAGGTTCGCAGGAAATTGAATATTATCTGACCAATGAGCCATTTTTACAGATGCTATCTTGCAAGAATTCAGACAGTTTTATTCTGACTCACCTAACGTAGGCTCCGCTGCAGACCATGATGATAAACAAGACCCTGTCACTTATCAATCGCACAAGCTATTCACTTAGAAATTGAATGATCCCATCACAGAGCTTTGAAGCCTCGCTGTAGCCGACGCTGTTGAGAATCAGCACTGCTCTTTCTGTGGAGGACCACTCACTGTTTGTCACCGATCCTGCTGCCTTACAATGGCGAATTAAAAAAAAATCCCCTGGGACATTTTTTTCGATGGCCTTTCGAGTTGTTTATCTATGAAGTCAACACTAGTCATCAAAAAGCAGTGAAAACGTCCAAGCGGGTGTATCTTTACGGAGCCCTTGTGATTCAACTCATTTCGCTGCCATAACTTCAAGGTTCCTAGGATCACCAGCCCTCGCTGCAATTGCACATCTGAAAACAGGGTAACTATTGTCACACCTAATCGAATCCAGAAAGTGTATTTTCGTCAGAAAAGCACTTGGCTTTCTGCAGGAAGCATATTGACATGGCAGTTCGGACATGTCGAAGTAAATACTACTCAGACGATGTTGTCCCCTTACTACTATTAGCCGGAAATCATCACAGATGGTCTTTCCTACATCCGTCACTAAGATATATGTCAGCACGGCGAGAGTCCTAAAACAAACATATTCGGATCACGATAGTCACTACCACGGGCTGAACAGCACATCGATCCACTTGAAACTGTTACTGTAGGTGTGCTTGAAAATAACACAAACTCTCCAGAGACTTCTAGTTCGTATTTTCGTATGTTAAAACTGAAAAAAAATACTGACCTGACGTTTCAGGACTGATTAGGTCTCTTCCTCCGGTATCATTGTCGGGCAGGCTCCAAAGCTCGCGAATTTTTTTAGTGGTGTCTCCTTTTGCATCGCAGTTCTTGCCGCCGTTCCTGTTACAGTGGCGTGTTCGGCACCTTTTCTGTAGACGGTGCACTTGTCAAAGTCTCAGTAGAGCCTAGATGTTTACGGATGTGGCTTGTATATGCGAAGACTCGAAGAACTGACTTTTTTTGAAGCTACCTACCGTGTCGATGAACCAGGCAGCGTCAAATTTTGCGCGATGGCTCATAGTTGCGATCTGTTCCACGAATACAGCAAAAGAATGGACAATGGCCTACTACTTTTATACTTTATCTACTTTCGAGCATTTTCTATTCAGATGCTCACTCGGTATTTTAGAATTGTTTGTCTTTATTTCTGAAATGTTCTTGGTGATTTAACAATCGCAGCTTGCTGAAGTATTCATGGTCGATTCTTTTTCTGATTCAACCAAGTACAGTAGTTTATGCACTCTGTGAATATTCCAGAGATCAATATTGGCGAGATCGTACCTTAATGTCCCCACCCTTTCTTGCGGAGAAAAGAGACAGTGGTGGAGTCTTCGTAGATGCCGGGTGAAATATTTATGTAAGTTGGAAGTACCTTTTAGCCTCGAAACACATTCAATAGGTCTGTCATATCCATGGAGGTTACTTTCATACTTCATAGTAGTTACATTCCTGGATTGCACAATTCATTACGCGACTGTAATTTTTTGCACAACACCTCTGCTTGAAGACGCGCCCTCTGGGTTCGTCTGAATCTGGCGTTTCTTTATAATGTTTGAAATCATATAGCAAATATTTTTTGTCATATTGAAGTAAACGAATGTGCATGTAAATAATCATTCAAGTTGTTCACATCACCTATTTCGCGTACGTATTACTGGGGAGTTCATATTTCTTACCTCAGTGGCACTTTTGAATACTTCACACGCTTTCGAATGTCACGGTTTCCACCTCTATTCTTCCTCAAGTTTTAATAAATAAACTGGTACCTCACTGTCTGCACACACTGTGCAGCGGGGCGTATCACGAGTGGCGTTTCCATTTTTTTCTGGGTAGTGAATGTGGAACTTAAGTGTCTTACACGATCTTGCTCTGTATTGAGAATGGATAACTGGATACTGTCCATTTCAAAGCACAATCACTCTATTACTTCAATAATTCGTTGATATTGTTTATAGCAGCACTCCACTCATCACCCAAAGCGTGCATTGTAGTTCTTTATAGTATGAGTTTCCTTCGCAGTTTTTTTTTGTGATCACTGCCTTTCTCTGGTATCAAGGTAGTCAGCTCATGTACTACCTTAGACCTTAAACAGATGACTACGATATGTTTTCTGTTAGGAGGTTTTGGCTGGAGGGAGCTTGCGTTCACTTACTTCCTACTACGATTTATCTCCAATTCCAATTGCCGTTCTATATGCAAGTATAGATATGCTTTCATAGATTTTCTGAATGTCTTTTTTTTCTTGTGCTGCAACACTGCACAACTTTCAGTGACAAAATAGTGGTACAAGTTCAACAAATTTTGGCAATCGGGTCCACGAGAAAGAGTCAGTGAGCAGCAGTCAATGCTACTGGCTCTCTGATTGAGCACTCTTGTGCTAATTGGGTAGTAGGGCATATAATGAGGGCTTCCCAGGCACCTCGTCTACACTGGCACATTTAAGGTAGCTTGCGGTTCGACGTAGCGGGAGCGTTGAGAGTAGAGCAGCAATGTTAATTTTATCACAGTAAATCGCACGCTACTGAGTATTGCTTTGAGTGTCTGAAGTAGGGAACAACAGCGTAAAAAGCAGCCCCTCACTAAACTTCGCAAATACAGTATTTAATCAATTCTTTTAAAATCTTCTTTCTGCACTTTCACCATTGCTGATGCTGCTTCGGTCACCATGCCTGTGAGGGTCATTTCTCTGAAGCAGTGTAAGCCATAACGTGGCTCTGTGGTTTAATATTTGTGCCCGCGTTCGAACCGACATTGAGCCACGATTTGTCTTTTTCGCACCAATAAGTAGCTTCCTCTCATCACAGCACTTTCGACGCCGAAACCTAATTATCAACTACATTAACTTGTTAATACGTACACGTGGTAATTTCAAACTGTATTCTCATAATTCCAAAATCTGTCATTTGCTTTAGGCTGTCAAACACCTGCTGATGTATACCGTATACCACAGGTCGTGCAAAGTGGGTGTGTCCCCCAAGCGACCGATGCAAAGGGTTGTTTCTACGACGTAAGGGAGAGACCACACACGGGATTCATGTCGGGACGTCAGTGTCACATTCGTCATAGACAAAATGTCCTTTCGTGCCATTCTAGTATATATTTAGGTTACCATGACACCACAGGAGCAGGCGCCTAGACAGACAGACGGACAGACAGACAGACACAGAATTATTCTAAATGCTTTTAGTTCACTTAAAAACTCTTCACATTTAAATGTTACCGATTTGAATGTGACCGAGTCATTTTATGGCACCAGTGATCCTTGACACTCAAGCTAGTGCAATAATAGGTTCTGAATCATTGCATCTATGCATATTGCTTTATTTGGTCATGTTTTTGGTCGATTGAAGCTGCCTGCAATGTCAGGCTGCCACTTGCGAGCCCTCCTCTTGTCGACCAAGGACACTAGAACCCATATCACGCAGACGAGAAAGCCTAGACTTCCAAGGACCCAGAACATTTCGTTGTACGATCCAAGGTCGTCTCTGAAGAACCCTGAAAATATATAAAAAGTTAGATTACTCAGTAAAAAAAACCTATTTTGGGCGCCCATGCTAACATTTTCTGCATGCTATGAAACAAAGCGATATGTGTCATTGCATAGGGGGCAAAATTAAAAGCTTTAGAGTGGGATACGAAAAGCTTTAGTTTAGCGTTACTCACCTCGGCGCATGCGCCGTATGCTACCCTTTCAGGCACCGACGGTAAGATGACAGACACAGCTTCTGGTACCTAAACGAACGCAATGTCCCTATACTTCATTCCTAATATGCGTAGTATTACATAACACACTATTGACGGTTCTCCATGGAATCGATAATGTTGCCCATAATTTACAACTCTGCACAAAAACTTATATTTCTTGGAATTGAAGTAAAAGGACTGTATTGCAGTGTCATCCCGTGGAATATCACGATACTCTTAGAAACACCTGTTTATGAAAATACTCAACCCTTGCACACTAAACCTTGTCCAGCTTGAGTGAAGTAACCAAAATCTCAGTCAGCCTCTAATTAATTACCTTTTCTCGTCTCATTACGGGTAATTTAGGAATTATGTTTTTTCTGCTCGCAACACTTGGCTGAAAATCAACAAATCTCTTCATGTTTCCTACATTTATACTTGTTTAGTTAAATTTATTTGCTTTTATTTTTTACAACACCAATTATTCGGAACAGGTACGAAGGCCACTATACTATAGACCCAAATTTGCATAGTATAAATAAGCCAGAACCGCATGAATGCTTTGTTCTAGCTGTACAAAGCCAATGTAAAAGTGCACTTTCTTGACGGAATCTTAGAATGTCATGATAGGGAATGAAAACCCTCTTTGCGGCCACATCTGAACACAGCACCTGTGATTACGCTTATCAGAAAGTAATGCAAAATTCGGCTGGTAGTCAAGAGATACGTTTGCCTTAAGGTCATGCCAGATATCGTAGAATTCAAGAAGAAAGAAGATCGAACAGGCCATTCGGCTTCACTCGAAACAATTTTTCTTGAACGCTGCAACCTAATTTAAAACTATGATTACGCATCACTTTGACTGCTTTTAAATGAAATGTGCGAATTTCAATTTTTTTCTAAACAGCAGTTGGCCTGTCCGTATAGAGCGAAAACGTACAATGGCCTACTCATACATATTGTGCGACAATGACGTCTGTTAGTGTTCGTATCACCATATTGAGAAAGAAGACTGTAAATACGTTACAAGTTATTAGGCTGCTTCGTGCAGTCTACTCTCGTTGTTGGTTTGCTACTTAAAATCACCGTTCAACGAAGGGGTACTAGAGCTGTTGGTATGCGTGTAACTCTATAAGCTACACTTGTGCACATTGCACTATGTTGCCTCTTCTACACAGTAAAACGACACGATCTGCACAACAGATATCTCGTTATAAATAAATTTAAGATAAACTACAGACACCTTAGCAAAAGGCAATTTTCGTATGCCTGCGTTGCAATGTGGTGAAGTGCTTGAACTTTTCAGCCGGCCTCATCAGTAAAAGGTTGTTCAGTCCGGCACTATACCCACATCAGTCGGTACTAGTTGGCTCACCTCAGTGAGTCTGTCATATATACAGTCTAATGGTATACAGAGTGATATCGATGAATGGATGGATGAATGGATGTATTCGACTGTGTCCTTTACATCGTGTGGCGGCTCACGCCCCTTAGGCTTAAAGTACTATCACTAAGTGTAGGAGGATTGAATTTTACTTGCGCCTTCATTGTAGCCACGAATCAGTTGGCCTCCTTCCTGTTATTTCTACCCATTTAAAGCGTATCTATGTGACACTATGATGAACGGGAGACGTGGCCTGGCTCATACGTCATGTTTATTCCACTGTCACTTCTCCTTTGCTTTCCTACGTTACAGCATTCCCTCTCCCTCGAGAGAATACGCGAGCTACAAACATTAACGCGTCAACTAGTGGAGTCTCAGAATAATCAAAATATACCAGAAAGTCGAGTAGCTCCATGTAACACAGTGGTTCATTCACTTGCACAAATACATTCACAGGTAGGGAAGTCTGATTATGTCTAGGAGACTTCAGGTGGGCGAGGTTGGCTGTTGCGTTCTGGAGAGCATAACCATGCGTTCGACATGAAAAATGATCATGACACAGCCCGGATTGTAGTGAGGAACGAACAAAGTTGGGAGTCCTTGTAGCGTCGGAAGGTAGGATGTCTCATGCGTTGGATTCTGAGTCAAGGCTGTGACTGACGCTTTGCATCTAGAATACTTGCTTCTTGACAGATTGTGGCGGCGTGATGCCTGAGTTCTGGCGGTGTGCAAGCCGTGCTTCCGCGTATTTCTCGGCGTTTTCTGTGGTGTCGCAGTTGGTGTAGAAGCAGGCGCAGGGAGCGTCTCTGCCGACTTTCCTTTGTGCGAGATAATCTGGCGTCTTGGAATGGTCTTTCAGTTGGAGATCTTATTTTTTGATGTTCTTTAATCGGAAAGTGTGCTTCCGTTATATTTCGCGTTTGTTAACGCCTTTGTTGAAGTCTCTGTTGGTGTCGCTGGTGTTTGTGGGCTTGGCTTTGCTTTCGTTGCTGATATTGCTCAGGAGATGGCTGTAAAAGAGTGCCTTCCAGGATTTGGCGTTCATTTCTTTCGCAAGTTGACGTGTCCTATCGACAGCTAGTGCATTTTGAGCCGGTTTCTTGCTTATCGGGCATAGCTGGTGGTGCGCCATTAGAGCTAGGATGCTCTTCAGAGACTTCAGTGACGTGGTTCATTACGGACGCTTTTAAAATACAACTGCGTACGAGGTTTGATCTATGATGTACTTCTGAATTGGTTCGATTCTTGAATTGGTGAGCAGTGCATGAGGGTACCACAGGTGACGTGGCATGACCAGGTTTGAACTGCACATTTTGGCAAGTCTGCGGTGCCGTAGAAATGAGAGTAAGCTCTTTTTAGGCTCTCGCAATGCTTTTCTTAATGAATGTTTCCGGCACACGGAAGTGCTTGAGAGTTGATCCTTCCAAGCCTCCTCTGTTGGTTGGACTCTCAGGTGGCTGGGAACTCAAAGGAGACACCACCAAAGGCTTGACTCGGTCGGATTTCACTTGGGACTGTTTCTGTGTCCGCCACTTGGAGGAGGAGCTGTTTCGATGCATGAATATGAACGGTAGGCACTGTGCTTGGCAGAGGATCTTCGGAGTCTGCAGCTCTATCCCGACCGTAGTGGGTGTGTGAGCGACGAAAGAGCCAAGTGATGGAAAACCAGGAAGTGGACCAAGTTTGGGAAAAGGGGAGTAAACTTCTCTAATGCCTGAAGACTGATTTTCACTCTTCGAGTCGTCATGGCGTTGTTTGGTATTTTCCCGTGCGTCAGCTGGTCTACCGTGAACAAGGTGTCCTTATCAGACGAATAGTGACAGTTAGGATCTTTTGAAGAGCTGCGTCGTAGAAAACCAGGTGGTGGACCATATATGTGAGGCGAAGCATGTGGAAGAGCAATAGGGTGAGCAACGTCTCGAGTGATATGTCGAAGCGCCGATTTTAAAAATGCGGACTTTAGTACAAAAGAGAAACCTGATGGGAAGCTTTGTGTTTTAAGTACAGAGGGTGAACTCTAGCGGCTGAGTGTGATTGTCTCCAGATGATTGGTAATAAAGAAGCCCTTGTCATAGTCGTTAAAATGGTTGATCATCTTTTTTATTTTTTGCTACGATTTGTTGTTCTCGAAGATGTGGGTGAGGTAAAATTTAAATGCTTCACTGGTGACGTACTCTCTGAGGTAAGTGACCATTTCCTGTTGTGACATGACGCAGCCCGACGATAGTTATAGCGCGAGAACAAAACGACGACACAGAGACAAGAAGGACACGAAACAAGGACACGAAAGAAGGACACGAAAGTGTCGTCGTTTTGTTCTCGCGCTATAACTATCTTTATGCCATACCAACTAGCCCAAGCTGCCACACTTCTACGATGCAGCCGTAGCGTGGAGCTCGCACAGGTCGAAGCAGCTTTGTACAAATCCATCGTCCGCTGCTCCTGTGTACTTGGGGATGGGAAGGTCGGTCGATGGTTCTGTCAGAATGCCGGTAACTACGCGCACTTGAGGCCGCCTATTCTATGGTTGATGTTCAGCTGAGGCGTGTTGCCGGTCCCTTCGCAAATGATGTGAGGCTGATGTGCGGCGGCCAGGTCTTCATCCAGTCGACTCGTGTGACACTATTATGAATGGGAGGCCAGGCCTGGATTACGCCATGTTTATAATGATGACGATGATGATGCCTCCGATATGGCTCTTGCCCACTCAGAGGGATTGGCTAAGAATCGAGTATACAAAATTTAAGGTATTTCAAATCATACGTAATCCTAACACAAGGAGGATAAAGCACACGTAAATACTGAAAGAGTGCAATAATTCCTTTTTGCCATTTCTACCAGACAGAATAATACCAGACAGAATAAGATGAGGCTTGATGAGCGCCCCAGAAAAACGGGGTGTCCTTCTTCAGGAGGTTTGTGGGTTAACGTGCAATGATAGCGAAGTCCTTAACAAACCGTCGAGAGTAGGAGCACAAGCCCACAAAACTGCGAACGTCCTTTGTTGACTTTGAAACAGGAAAGTCCGTGACGGCGCGAATTTTTGCGGGATCCGGGTGGACTCCTGCGGCATCGACGATGTGGCCAAGTACGGTTATTTGACGACGAGCAAAGTGGCATTTCGACGAGTTCAGTTGGAGCCCACCTCGACGAAAAAATTCAAGAATCACCGATAAACGCTTGAGATAGGAGTCGAATGTGGGCGAGAAAACGATAACGTCGTCCAAATACCATAAGCAGGTTGACCATATAAACCCTTGGAGCAATGAGTCCATCATTCTTTCGAATGTGGCAGGTGCATTACAGATACCAAAGGGCATAACTTGGAAGTGATAAAGCCCGTCAGAAGTGACGAATGCGGTCTTCTCACGGTCCATCTTGTCCACAGCGATCTGCCAATAGCCAGATCGAAGGTCGATAGTGGAAA